TTGGCTTCTTTGTATATATTGGCGAAAGTTTCTATATAAGGCCTGGCAATAGCTTCAGTGCCGGTTTTACAAGGGTGCTATTTGGTGCTATAGCACCAGGCGGCAAATCTTAGGAGGGCGGTGTCACGTTGAGAGAACTGTGGTAATGTTTTTTTTATTTTATTTTCTTTGACTCCCTTTGACTGAATTTTAAACTTTCGTAGGTAGCTAGGTAAATTTTAAACCCATATGGGATAAACGACTAAATTAAAAAATAAAGGAATCGTTTTGATTTTCGCTTTTCAAAACAATATATTTTTATTTTTGGGATTTTGTGCCAAAGTCTGCGTTTTTTTTTGTTACACATGGCTTTTAGTTCATACCATACCTATAATAGCTCTGTATTCTATAACGTAATTTTTTAACAGAAAAAATTTACCCTATCTTTTGGTGCAGACTTTATAACATGATATTTTTAGCCGACCATACCAATAGGTATGGTAGGCTATTAAGATCGGCAAAAAAAAAGTTTTTTTAATTTCACTCAAAATGAGTTATTTGGGTCAGAAATGACCTAAATACAAAATATTTTCATGGTGTCTGTCTGTCTGTCTGTCCGTCTGTAACACGATAACTCAAAAACCGCTAAACCGATTTTAACCAAATTTGGCTCACAAATACTGTGGCACCCGAGAATCTGGCTATTAGTGTTTGGTGGGGGTGGGAAGTTGGTAAGGGGGTATGGGAGAGGATTAAAAATTTAAAAAAATCGTAACTCCAAAATTACAGTAGCTAGCGAAACGCGGTTTTCAATTTAAGATTAGGAATAATATTTGCAACAAAATTTGTAATAACATCAAAATCAGTCAAAGTCGCAGTTTTTGAGATAAAAAAAATTCAAAAAAAATTCCTTTACTTTGAAACTAAAAGAACTGCCTACCAACTTTTATTAACATATTTTAGTATACGTGCCTCCCGGCGCCAATTTTTTAATAATAATAATTATTATTATTTATATATATTAATATTTTTAATAATAATATATATTAATATTTTTAATAATAATAATAAATCAGTTATTTATTTTCGAGACTCTCGAAATTTCGAGAATCTCGAATCGAGATCGAGAAATTGACTTTGAGGAAAACATCGAGACGAGAGTTTGTTAATATCTCGTCTCGATGATCGAGACGAGACGAGAAATAGCCTCGTCTCGATGAAACCCTAGGAACAATGAATGTAAAAATTGCGCCTTCGATTACGTAAATAATAGTTTAATTGATATGAAATATATGTATGTCCATATACAATGTATGTCAAAAACGAGTTATATTTTATTCGAAAATCTTATTTCTTATTATTTATCATATAATAAGTCACATACGATGCATGTTTGTATTTTTTGTTGCCCCAAGTCTCCTACACCCACAGCAGTGGTTATCTCGGGTTCAGGAAGTCACAGCATAGGTCGGCGCCGATAACGGGGCATCCGTATTATAAGCCACCGTGTGTTAACGATTACGAGAGGCAAAGGCAACAATGCTATTTTTGTCCGGCGAGTTATAATAAATCACGTTACCGAGTTCAAATAGAGAACGATATTTTTCTGAACTTATTTTTTGTTCTCTGGCGTTTTGATACTGGACGTCTGGGAATTTTGCGTCGATAAGACGATAGTTGCAAAATAAAAAGGACACGCTTTCGTGAGAAAAGCGAAATAAACAGGAATATTTGTGATTATATTAATAACAGCGAAAACGAAACAAAAGATGTGTTTAAAATCAAAATCAAATAATTATACTGGCTGTTGTACATGATTTTTAATTACTAAAAAAATGTTGTGAGCACTATTGCGCATTCTTCTTACTTCTTACCATCTGTCTGTCTGTCCAACTAAGGACTCCATTCGGGTGCCTCTCCAAACCAAAATAAAATCAGGAGAAATTTAGAAAAACTTTTTGTAAATCACTTTTTTTCATCATAAAATATTCAAAACTATTCCCAATTTGTCCAATTTTCGCTTGAAAACATTTTTATTTTAGCCATTTTCTCTACTGCCGGTCAAAATTTAATTTTGTCCTTCGTTCAAGCTATGTTCTAGACGTATTAAACTCCAAGTGCCGCGGCTCGTGACGCCAACAAGGTAAGGTATACTACGCATAGAAAATATAATGGGTTAAGACGCGATAGATATAGTTTATATTGGCCATTGACCGCGTCATTCATAGTTGATTAAGAAATATCGAGTGCATTATTTCTATATAAATATACAGGGTTGTTCACCACATATGACACGGAGTATTGTAGCTAAATGATTAGATTTTTACAAATTGTAAGTCTTGGGTTCGTTGAAGGACTATTAGAGCTACAATTTAAAAATATTTTTACAAGATACAGAGTATCCCAAATAAATAAAAAACATCAAAGTTATATTTTTTTAGATGGAACACCCTGCATATTATTACATTTTTAGTTTCTACGAGTAAAATAAAGGTAAATTTGATAAAGTGTATTACACTTAAACCTTACCGTTTTTAAAATATTTTCAATTTTGTGAAATTGCGTCCCCTTTTTATTGTGAAATGGTCTGGTCTCCAATTTTGTGAAATTGCGGTCAACATTTTAAGGCTTCATTTCTCCAAGGGTATCAAAGTTTTTAATACTAAATATTTATTGAAGTTTACTTATTGATCAGTTATTGTGTTGCAATAATAAAAATTATACTACCTTATACAGAGTGTCTAAAATTTTATTTTAAATAATGACTAGCTTTAAACGGCAATAACTTGTTTAATTTAAATGGAACACCCTATATATTTTATGATAATTAGATGCACAATTTAATTGTCTATCAAATTGTATTATACCATTTTTTACCTATCTCTTCAACTTTCCGTAGAAAATGCATTTTCTTGTAATTTAGAACTCATTTATCAATATACCCATGGAATACTGACATTTTAGATTATTTTTAAAGATGTACCAAATTTTTAAAGAGTACAGGTATTAATATTGTCGATATAGTTTGTTTATTTTATTAAAAAATAAAAAAAACTGTTTAAATATTTGTTAAAGAGGACCAATTAATATGATTCCAGTATTCAAACTACATTAAATTGACTGTTTGCGTTGATTAATAATTGCTCCAAATACTAAAAAACTGAATTTTGTATGTGTATTAGACAGTGGGGTAAAAACTAACACCTTAAAAATAATATTTAATTTTTTTGACAAATGCTTATTTATAACAACCAAAGATAACAACAGAGACATTCATTTTCATAACTTATTATTATATTGACTTCTGATTCAAATCCACATTTATTAAGTGTAATAAACCTTAATCAAATGTACCTTTATTTTAATCGTAGAAACTAAAAATGTAATAATATACAGGGTGTTCCATTTAAAAAAATACAACTTTGATATTTTTTATTTATTTGGGACACTCTGTATCATGTAAAAATATTTTTAAATTGTCGCTCTGATAGTCCTTCAACGAACCCAAAACCTACAATTTGTAAAAATCTAATCATTTAGCTACAATACTCCGTGTCGTATGTGGTGAACAACCCTGTATTACAGGATTTCAGTCATATCGCTGGAAAAATTTTGCCGTTTGGGCAGTTTGGTTGTTTATAAAAACTCAAATTATAAAACAACTTAGGTTTTGGTATCGTTTATCGCGTATCGCGTATAATGTTTGGTTTAATCAATATAAATCAATATTTAAATTTTTAATAGGTATCGAAAAAAATGTTAGTTTTTGTTTTTGTACGTTATCTGTGGTTTTAGTTGCTGTGCAGCGCGAAATTTGTGTAGGTAATAGTTCATAATTTTCTGGTTCTGGATAAATGATGAACTCTTGCTGACTGATTCTGGAATAGATATTTTCAAATAGAAAACATATGGTGTTTAGTTTGTAAAATCATGCTGTTAAAAGAAAACAATTGCTTAAATTTCTAAAAATGTTTAGAGAAAGAATTGACTTAAAATATAAAAAAATGTGAAATAAAACTTTTAGAAATATGTATGTGTATATATGTATTTATATTTTTGTGACATTATTATTTAAGTGTCTTTTAAATCCTACTGTGGAAAATTTGTGTAAAGAACATTGACTGGATTTTTAGTGAAATGGCACTAGGCAACCTGTTTAAAAATGTAAGGGTAGGTTTCATTTTAACATAATTTTTATTTATTTTTAGATTTATTTTCCTTCCTACAATTGACCTCCCTACAATAATAACCACGAGCCGCCGCTGTTCCGAAATAGAAAAAGACTTTAGTCATTAAAAAAACTTAAATCTTTTAAATTCTTTAATATATTTTTATAATAAATTTTAGTAGCAGCGTTTCTTTTGAACAGTCAGGTCGGCATCAGGGCAGCAGATCAAAAATCTATCATCATATCGCCACAGTTTTTAATAGGTAGGTAGGTTTTATTCTAAACTGTACCTACAATAAATTAATAATATAGGTAATAAGAAACTCGACAATTGGTAGAACAAGAAAATGTATATTAATATTTAAAAAATAGGTACCTAAATTGAATTTTGGCTTTCTTGACGTGACGGCAATTATTCTAATTTGTCATTTGGCCGACTTAACTCGCAGATCGTCATGATGTAAATCAAAAATGTAGACTGAAGGCATAAAAACCACTTTTAAATTACATGATACATCAGTATCATGTAATTAAATTATGTCCTTACGAAAATGGCTTGATTTGAAAGAAAATTATTATTGCTCTCTTGTTATATCAACTTCATGCTGAAATTGACTTAGGGTTTAAATCTTTTTGATTTGACATATATGACTTAAAACTTAAGATTTAAGTCTTTTTGAAACTGACTTGTTGCAGGTTGCAGCTCTGGTCACTGTAATACTCTGAATCAGTGATTGCGGCTCCCTGGTGGGACCCATTCTTATTAGAAAAATACAATAAAGACAATCTCTTCTGATAGACGGCATCCCTCTAGTGCAGAATTTCAAATGGGACATCGTTTACAGGTATATTTTTACCATTTTTCTAGATAGACTTCTTTTTCTATCCACTTATCTTCATAGACTTAAAAATTAGAACAACAAAAACGAACCGTTATAATCAGAAAACTAAAAATATACAGCTAGCAAGATAAAAAGCGAGAAATAAATGTCACTTCGTCGGTGACAGCGTCATAAATTATCTACTAAAAACGTTTTCAAAAACTGTCTCCAGCCCAAAGATTTTTCAAAAAAGAAAAAAAGCAGCACCGAAAAGCCAACAGAAAAGAAGTAAAAACTACGTAGAGATAATGTGACTTGTGAGACCATAAAATATCCGACCGTAATGTAATTGAACAAAAGCATAAGGTAATTTGGATGTGACGCTTCTGTTTAATTTTAGGCATGAAAAGGGAGCTTTGCGGATGCACGTTGGTGTTCCTCAACACTGTGACCTTTTTTATGTCCCTTATTCAGATAACCGTTGGATTTATTACGAGTTTGAAAACGTTAGCGTATTATTTTGGCATATCAATAATATTATTAGGTAAATATATAGATGTAGAATGTATAAAACGTGGAAGGGGGTTAACCACGGCTACCTGAAAGAGCATAATCTCCCCCTTTCTTGAGATATGTGTACACTATGTGCGCATATTTGAAATGAACCTACTTCTTACTTCCGTCTGTCTGTCTCTGAACCGAATTTGGACCCTTGAGAGTACCTCGAAAAAAGACTTCTGGCTTCGTTAATTTATTCGACCACACTCTAAGCATCGCCAATCAGGGATAGATCCATGCGCTTCAAACATTACGAAAACATGCTAGAAAGGGTAAACAGGACGTTAGCACTCAGGGCAGCATCGGCATACTACACATTTCCAACAGTAGCGATACTGTGTCTTGCTAAGATACCTCCGATCAGTCTACTGATCGAGGAAAGAAACAAGAAACCAAATATATAAAAACGGAAACAGAAACATTGTACTAGAGCAATGGCAGACACGATGGGAACCATATAGCAGGTGGACAAAGACTTCCACATCTAATATCAAAGATTGGATAAAGTGCGACCGGATAAACACGGACTATTATATCACGCAAGCCATGACTGGCCATGGAGTATTTGGCGAGTATCTACACAGGACCCGCAAAGCTGACTCTCCTACATGCTGGTATAGCGAGTCAGACTCGGCTAACCATACACTATTTGAGTGTCACACGCCACGAAGATAAACGGAAAATGCAGAAACTGTATGTGGTACGAAGATCACTACAGTAAACGTAGGAAACCTTCTGAGATTATCGAACGTAAATATCAAAACGATTTGCGGGATGTTAAGGAACATTATGAAGAAAAAGGAGAAGGACGAAAAAGACAAGATTTAGGTACAGACAAGACCAACAGAGAAGAATGATAAGTGTCTAATCTCGACAAAATGCCTTCGGCGGTACTGGATTTGCGAGCTTAGTGCACAGATGGGTTTTTAGTGGGTAGGCTGTCCCGCATGGGGCAGATCCACACACTCCAGCCTTAAAGGTGTGTCCGATCTATAAAAAAACCTCCGATCGTTACCACCTTTCCTCTCGCGTCTTGTGTGTCACGGCCTTAAATTTTTACTCCCTCGCGCGTAAAGAAGTTTCACTACAAAAATATTGCAACCCATTTTATTAATAAAATCTATTTGGATGAAAATAAAAATATTGTAATTAAAACAAACTTTTTTTGCAGGTTTTGTTACTTTTACGGTAGCTATACTGTACTTCTACCCATCCACTTACTACCCAAAAAGCAAACTAGTCCAAACGGCAGTTATCTCGATTTCCGTTTCCACAGGGGTGGAAATGATTAGCAACGTAGCCTACTTTATGAGGATCAGAAATGTGAAAGACCTAATCGATACCGCAATGAATGAATTAGAGACTATTGTAAAAAGTATCCACGTTTTCGTAGTGTTCGCTTTGTTCGCGTACTATTGGCGGGTGCTGCCGCAAGCTATGAGAACTGTTCCGAGGTTGTTCGAGGGCCGCGACACTTATGATTCGGAGACGGAATTAGAGAGTGTTGGTTGACTTAGAGATTATACATTTAAAACAACTTTATTAATATTTTTTAAGTATATTTATATACGTATTTAAATAAAAAGTTAAAACCATATATGTTGAGTTTGACGTATTGGGTCCAAACTAAATATATAAAACAAAGTCGGGTTAGTTACACCATCTATAACTGAAGAACAGCTAAACCGATTTTAATGATCTTTGATTTGTTGGGTTCGTCTCCACCCCGAATAGCAGAATAACTATTAAAATATTACAAAAAATCATTTTTAAATAAATTAGGTTTGGAACTCTGCAATCCTCCACAATTGACAGTATCTCACGTCACGCGTCACGCAAGCTTAGGTATAGCTTATTTGTAATAATTTATGTCCACTGTAAATCAAATATACTAGAAATACTAGAATTGAAATTCAATAAAAATAGTGGGAAGATAACATATTCAATTCTAGAAAGGTATTGAAAATTATACTTTTAGAAAATACTTTCTTACTTACTGCCATTACTCGCTGACGAGTATTTGACACGCATCAGAAGATAGTTACGCAACGCGTTTTCTTCCATTGTTGTGAACATACATTTAATATGGTTATATGTATATGTATATTCGACAAATTGTATAAAATATTATTTTTACCCTTATTCTACGGCTATGCCTAAAGAATTTAAGGTACGAAAAATACCATCAACATTATTATTCTTCTCAGAAAGATGGGTGATGCAAATAAACAGAACCATCTTTTTATGTTCAACAGACCGCCGCACAGTGCTTCGTCCCATGGACAAAAATCGAAAAAAAAGTTAAAACTTACTTATATCTGAATATGTAATATTATACTTATAGCAATGTTCAACCATCCTGTATATTATTTTTCATAAACAGCGTTTTTTTTAGCAAATATTTTCACTAAAAATAAATTTTGCGATCATTATCTTATCAGTGAAAAGAATAACATTCATAGTAGTTCTGTATATTATGGAGTTAAACGGTACGTACTTAATTGACAGCCACTATGGATATTGTTAAACAAGGTATGTACTTTAAATTTATTTCTAAACAAGTTCGTCATCGTTAAGTTTTTAATTATTTTTTAAGATGATTCTTAAATGCGTACAAAAATTTTACGTTTTCAAACTTCAAAAAGGCATTTAAAAAAATCATATCAAAACATATCGTATTTATTGAATATATTGTTGTCATATTCATACACTTTTAGTTTTTGTATAGTTCACCTGCGTCTGGTTGCGACGAACTTTATTTTATAATACTTTTCAGATAAAGTAAAATTGATAAGCAATGCCGATCAGGTTAATACTTGGCTTGATCATAAGGACAAGAATTCAAAGTTATTTGTATTTCAAAAAATGTGTTCTTTATTAGATATTGATGAACCTTCCAGTCAAATGAGACACCACTTGTGCCTGAAAAAAACCACTATGTTAGCGCGAAAAGTCGCATAAAAAAGTTTCCATCTTTCAATTTATTATAAAACCTCATACCCAAGAAAAGGAAACAATAATATATGGATATGGTCTATTAAAGAGGTAACTATTAACATCCGAACTCCTCATACCAACAAAAAGAACAGTAACAACGCGAAAAAGTAACATATTAGAAAATGATGTATAGAAGTATCTTATTATGTGAGGATACTTCATCTACCTATGATTTGGATACTATAAATTTGGAAGATTCTGTCAGCGGTGATTCTTCTGAATCAGAGTAGTTACGATCTATGCATTTTGTTGTCCTAAGGTAAATTTATAGTATCTTAAGTTTTTTTTTAATTAAATATAACATTAATGTTTCTTTTTCATTAAAGAAAAACATTTTTATCTTATATTAGGCTTATATTGTAGGAATCATGTTCTAATGTTATTTCAATTCTTTTTTATCACTGGGATTTATTTAATACTTACACCGTTTTCATACTATAAATTATTATTTCCTTAGATGGAACACAGCTCCAACATTTTTATTATTTATAATTTTTTTTTCATAAACGTGGGGCTAAGAACATCATCATTTAGTACAATGAGAGTACTCATCATTTATGTCAAATAAACCTAGTTTGAATAAATTGCCTACAATAAAAGAGAAGTTTTGCATTTTTGTCCTCTAAAGCCATATGTTCGAAGCACTGTGCGCCGTCATACCTGTATCTAACACCCATTCCCCTTTCCTACAGTTTGCTGTCCACTATAATAGAGAGCGCTGCCATGAATATGTTGAAGAGGCGCTTCAATATCCCTTACACCCCCCAAGTAAGTAAGTTGAATAGGAGAGGAGCTAGGACACATCCGTACATAACACATCGAAACTGAATTTCAAGATTTCAAAACCATAGGGTGAAATATAGGTATACTTATGATATAGTAACAATATTGCTAGAAATATAAAGAAATATATGGTTTATGTTTAAAAGTTTAAGTACAACGCAGTAGGAAGGTATCAGCTATAATCTGCATTTAAGATTTTTTGCTGTAAGAAGATTTAAATACTTGGGTTGCTGGCTGAATGATAAATGGGATGAAGAAATCAAACATAGAATTGAAATAGCCAGAAACACATTTTTCAAAATGAAAACTCTATTCTGCAACCGAGACTTGAATCTGACTACTCGATGGCGAGCTACCAAATGCTATGTACTGTCTACATTGTTATCGGAGTCGAGGGATGGACGTTGAAGGCACGGACCATGTCACACTTGGATTCATTTGAGATGTGGTTATACCGACGAATGTTGAGAATATCCTAGACCGAACGAATAACAAATCTCGAAGTGTTAGAAAGAATGTGATGACTGAAGATGTAACTACAATAAAACGACGGAATTCATACAGCATATTTTGGTCATATTTTTAGGAATAAGAAATATAGTTTCCTACAGCTGATCGTTGAGGGAAAGATTGAAGAACGACGAGGCATCGGGCGTAAACGGTTTTATTGGTTTAATATAGTCGAGGCCAGTGCAATTATCCGTTTGACTAAAGACAGGGAGGAATTCAAACTGATGGTCGCCAACCTCCGATGAGGAAAAGGCACATGAAAAAGATGAAGAAGAAGATATTGGAGATGGACCTCTCTAAAATCATCTCAGATACTGGCTATTGCCAAAGCTCTGAGACTCTATAAGTTATAACTCAAGAAAAGGGGACACAATAGATCTATAATGTCGCGATTAACTTCACTCCTCCCATGCAATATACAAATCAGCAAGTATCCAATAATCAGAAAATTGTTATAACGAACAGGCTTGTTCTGGCGTTTAGCGGTGTCCGTTAGCGTTACCGTGACGCGAAAACGACTCTCTCTAATTGGTCGAAACGTGGCGTCGAGTCTCAGTGAAAAAACGCGACGGCATCCCGTAATAAGAAGAAACAATAATTATTTGTCGGTGAGAATTTATTGACGCTACTGCCACTCGCTCATTACGGCATATTTTCCCGCTTTTTCCATCTACGGTCGCCATTTTTAATTAAAACGCCACCAGATGAATTTCATCGAATGTTTTTATTCATACGGCGTATTTTTTCAGCGCGCTCGCGGACTCACAGACGCAATATGAAATATTTTCTTGTTTTTTTTGTTCTCTTTTTCTTTGGTTTGCTTTATTTATTTACCATCGAGACATAAAAGGACGGGGCCTTTTCTTTATCGGGAAACGTGGGAAAAGCTGGGATTTTTCTTTAAGGATTCGTCGTGGCTTTCCTTAAATATATCTGTGTCATTCTCTTTGGGGCACTTCTTGGTAAGTACACAGTATGTCCAGAGCGATCAACAATGATTGAAATAGTTGGCTATTCTGATTTTGCTAGTACGGTTGGCAATAAATTTAAAAATTCTAGTATTATCGCGAGCGTCAAAACAAACCAAAAATTAAAAAAAAATCATTAATTTTTTGGCGATATTCAAATTCGTTTTCCATAATAATATTAGACTAATCAAAAAAACATGAGAAATAAATGGATTTAATATGAAGATTTTCTGATTGAATTAAAGAATAAGTATACTAAATAATATAGATTAACTTACGTCTTCCTAATGAATTTGTGTAATAAACGTTTTATTTCAAAAAAATGTTTGTTAAAAGGCATCCAATAAAAAATAAAATATATTTGAAATTAATAGTAAAAAGTTCTACATATTTTTATATATAAAAAGCGAAATGTACCTACAGAAATATATACCTGACAAAACAGCATTGTACAGGGTGGTCGAAATTGGTCTGTTTTAACAGAGAAAACCTATTTCCTGACTAGATAGAGCAAAACCGACATAGATGTCATGGGCTCGATTTCTGAGACATGTTTAATGGCGTAAACCGCCTGTTGATATTTTCACTGCCAACAGATATACGGGGTCTTTTTGAATTTTTTACAGTTTGGAAAATTGCCCATAACTCTTATATTTCGCGAAATAATAAAATTCTGTAAAAACGTTCTTAAGGTACTTTTTAAGCACAATCCAGTGGCGTAGTCAGTTCTTTTCTATACATGCTCTTTTTGTCAGAAATAATAAAAAATATAATTTTTTAAATGGAAATCATAGTTGGCTATAAACTTAAAAAATGCTGGCGTTTAGCCCTTTCTAACGATATAAAGTTATGTGTATTTATTTCTAAGAATGAGAGAAACATTAGGCTTTAACACAGTTACTGTTCAACAGGCAGTTTACGCCATTAAACGTATCTCAGAAATCGAGCCCATGACATCTATGTCGGTTTTGCTCTATCTAGTCAAGAAATAGGTTTTCTCTGTTAAAACAGACCAATTTCGACCACCCTGTACACTAGATGTTTCCAATTTAATATTTCCGAGCTCTACAACAACTGTTTACCAGCAGAAATGATAAACCTTCAGAGTGCTGCATTTAAAAATAAACTTAAAAAACATTTTCTGGATAGTTCTCTTCCCTCTAAGTTTTTTTTACCTCAGAATTATTTTAATATAAAATACTTTTTGTGTTTTATTTCTTTGAATTTCATACTAAATTTTCTTAGTCATAGGATTACTATATAATTTACTTATATTTGTAGATAAGTTGCAGTAAAATAATTTAGCTACACATTTATACTAGCTGATATTG